AAATTATTGTATATAAGTTTGTTAACCATTTAGGTTTCACATAAATAATTGAAACTATGAGGAAATTCGGCAAATGCGAACAAAGACGATTTAGTAAGACGGAAGAAGTTCAACAATAGATCCTTGATTTTATGACCTCACTGATGAAGTTGAACCAGCTTTAGAAAAAGGCTAATTCAGGTGAAAAAGTGCTTAAGAATTGTAACAGTAATAAACATCACAGGAGTCCTTAACATGATGTAGGCATAAGTAGCAGTTGCTGTTAGATGCGTCGAAATTTTTCCAAGCCACTTACCCTTAGAGTAAGGGTTAGGGTTAGGTCAAGTTGACATAAAGACAATGTTGAAGACTAGCAATTAGCAATAACCCTGGCCGTAAACAGCCAATCATAGTGAAGCTGGCAATTCAAATCATGATTATTGTTCATCTGTTACGCTGTCTGTGGTCGCAATTGCAGGAAGTCTGCTGGGGATAAATAGGAAATATTTTTACAATTAAAAACACAGTTTCTTTTTTGTTCAGCGAAGAAATTTCTTTTCAACGACTTCATTTTCAAGCTGTACAGTCGTATTTATATTAGAATAAGGTTATTAAGTGGCACAAAATAATTGCTCCTTCATTATACATATATAAGTGATAAGAATTATGATAATTAAAATGCTATAAGACGTAGAGTTGAAGTGGATGAATTACAAAATTATTAAAGATTGTTTTGTAAGTGAATTGATACCAAAAATATTTTTTAAAAGTTAATGTCAAGCGTTGTCTAAAAATTAAAAAAAATTAGGAGTACGATTACGATAAGAATGAAGATGTGAAGTGAAGTGGAATGAATTCAAGTGGTAAAATAAAATAAAATGAAAACTAGAAAGAACATTACTATGACCAAGGTAAAGAAAGGCGTCTGACAAAACGCTTTTGAACACATGATTTAGGTTTCTGTTCATGTATATCTAAAGCTCCAGCTATGCATAAGTGAAGAAAACGTAAACTTTTGGAGCGATTCAGTTTGACGATGTAGATAACATTGAAGGATGAATCACGTGGGGCTAAATGACCATACTCTAACAGGCGATCATAGATAGATGACTTCGCAGTTCTACGTTCGCCTTTCATTAACCAAACCGGATAGTGTTCAGCTACACGTTTTCGGAGAGTATGCTTACAACGTGCAATATAATCGAATCCACAGGAGCAGGTAAAATAGTAAATGCACATAGACTGTACAGCTTGAAAATGAAGTCGTTGAACAAAAAACTGCGTTTTTAATTATAAATAAATGGGTATTTTTTGTGATTTAAAAGCGTGCAAGGAAATATTTTGCTTATTCTGTGGAAAGTGTTATTCTCTATACCAAATCTATCCTTATTTCTTATATGCGAATGGATGATGCAAGTGCATCTGATACTGACAGCTCCTACTGTCGTCACATTGGTTTGATATTTTGGCACTGAGAGAAACCTATACTGTCAAAATACCAACTCTTATATATTTGGGAATACATTTAGATAATTTTGGTACTTCTTACGTTGTTTTACACTGACTACAAAGGATGTAACTTCACAATGGGCACTAATGGTTGCATTTTAACACTTACTTAATTTACTGTTGACGTTCGTAACCAGTCACTTTTCATGCTGCTTTTATAAACGTCAAATGGAGTTGAAACTTTGTAAGATTTATTTTTTACGAGTCGATCACGGATTGATATCAGCTAGAGAACCATTAAAAACCAGGGAGTACTAGACAGCTGCTGTTTTATCCTAGTTTGGGAAGGGAGAAGAAAGAAAGAAAACGTTGTATTTATAAGTGACATGGGTTGGAGATACGAGATCCAGTTGTTCTACTGACCATTTAATAAGTTGAAGGTCTCACGCCTAATGCTTTTTTTATCGCACAGAACACTAGCTAAGTAGGGTATGGTTGAGTTTTTGTACTTACCAGTGTGAGCATAAATTTTTCTATATAGGCTTCTGGTTTTCCCTGAAGAGATACAAGGGGAGAGTTGTGAATGAAGAGGGTGGTGTGAGTTAGGCAGAATGGATTTAGCCCATTTTTCACATGAGTCCATTTGCCTGTCGACCAGAATATTAACAAGCTGGTTAAGTGTCACGTAGCTTACCCTGATGACAACCTTTAACATCCTGCGTAATAAGGCATAGTCTTTCTTCAGTAACCCAGGAAAGACTAAGGGGAAAAAATAAAGAATAATAGGCAGAATGCAAGAGTTAACGAATTGTAGGAGTTAAAGGTTGGGTTATACCAGAATGTCTTAACTTCTTGATGACGAAGGTAAGACGGAATATTTTCTTTGAAATCATCAAGATATGAGACGACCAGGAAGGAAAGATCAGCAGATAGAATGACGCCTAGGTATTTAATTTCCTTCTTGGTTCCTATCGGCAGTACGCACCCACTGCCGATGATTTCCAAACTAGGATATAACAGCAGCTGTCCAGTACTTCCTGGTTTTCAATGGTTCTCTAGCTGATATCAATCCGTGATCGACTCGTAAAACATAACTAATCCTTTCAAACCGAACTATAGTAAGATTTATTTGCTGAATCACGAATACGTCCGAAATTAAGGTAGATTTTCTAGTTTTCATGTCAAGCAACATAAGATGAAACTGTTTGGAGGATTTTATCATGAGTTGACATCAGTCAGAGAACCATTGGAAAATCTGGGATTGATGGACAGATGAAGAGTCCCAAACTAGGATAAAACAGCAGCTGTCCAGTACTCCCTGTTGGTTTTCCATTGGTTCTCAAATTGATGTCATCTCATGATAAGACTCTCCAACCAATCAAACAAATTCCCTACAAAAATCAATACTTGAAAATAAGATGAAATCTCCAGTGACTGTAATGTGATCACTTTCACAAATAAACTCATTATACCCGTGGATAATCAGGGAGCCGTGTCTACACTTAATCAGCAGTGGAAGAGGAAAACGATTTCTATTCTTAAATCATGTCTTAGAGGTTTCGTAGTTTACGTTTCAACATAAGTCTAGTTGATGTTATTAAGAATACGCTGTTCATACCATATTTACATTAAAGTACTCATGCGTATTTTTAGATTAAAATTATTTAACGTTGCATGTAGTTGATAAGAGTTGCCTCATTCCGTGATATCCAGCTCACCTTGTTGTCTTCACTTTATTCATATCAGACGACTGCGTTTTTCCACTAGATTAAGTGTCCTATTTCTGCAGTCGGAATGTTCGTGTGAAAAGCAGGTTTTCACCACACCTCGTACAAAATTCGAACTTTCTTGATGACTAAGACAAGACGGCTAACCACTTCCAAATACAACTAAAGTTAGTATCCATGAGTTAACATTTTTTTGAAGCGTTTGCGTAGAAGTATGCACAGTGCATCGTAGTGTGTTCAGCGTAGGTCTGCATAAGTTTTCCTCTGATGAAACCATTTTGCTTAGCAGAGAAATAAGTTTAAAACAATTAGTTCCCTTTATGAATTTAGATAAAGCAATAAGAAGACGTAATTTGTCTGAATCGTGTAATGTATTTACACAACACATTTCGAACAATCTGATCCATCGCACACAGAGTTGTCATAGGAATATATATAAAATTAATAAAGAGGTAAGAGGTGAGAAAATAGACTTAGGTCATGTTAAAAGGACATAATCAAGGTCAAAATAACAATGAAGATCACTAAAACAAATAGCAGAGGTACATAGTACATCTGCTATGGTATCAAAACAAAATTTACCAAAAAAGGTTTAATGTGATGACGAATTGTTTTTGAACCCATAAAGGTGGCTTGAACTTTTTAATTGCTAGGGCTTCCACAAACATTAGGATACTCCCCGAACACGTTTTATAGATAGGTTTAAAAGATCTGTTAACGTCAATTTTATTTCCTGTCTCTATAATATGTTTCGCAATAGAAGAGCTAGGTCTCCTGTTCTCACCATTAATAGGTTCTGAAGAATCTATTTGTTTCTAAGGCTATTTAGGAATATGCTGTGAATCCAGCAGTTACTTGCAGAGATCGATGAGCCCTCCTTATTTATGTGTGTCCACACGTACATTCAAATGGTAAATACAGTGGAATGTGACGTCATTTTTCGCATGTTCGAAGGGCTTAGATAGATATATTGGCTTTACATTCTCTATTATTATGATATTAGCTGCATGAGAAGTCTTTTTAACAGCAGCGTTCAGTCTTTGTCTAGTTATCGAGCTGCTTTGATGACCCATATAGGGTAGCTTGATGTATACGTCTTTCTTAGAGGCGAGTTGGAGAGTGGGTCTTGGTGTTCTGACTACTTTATATCTCCTGATGAACTTGTCTGGATAATTGTTATCAACCAGAGTCTGTGGTAACTTTCTTTCTTCTTCATCAAGTGTGTCTTCAGTGCATATTCGTTGAATTCTACAGAAGAGGCACCTTACTAAGGCTCTTTTGTACCGAACAGGGCAGAAACTGTGGTAATTAAGATACTGTCCTGTCCAGGTAGGTTTCCTATAAATAGATATTTTTATTGACCCATCAAGCCGTCGACTAAGCAATATGTCTAGGAAAGATAAACAATTATCTTCCTCCTCTATAGATGTAAGTGATATGCTATTCTGGACTTCATTCATTCGATTTAAAATTGAGGTGGCAGAACAAGGCTTATCACTGATGACTACGATATCATCTACATACCTTCTATAAAGTGGCATATTTTCGATTAAATCTTCCGAATATGTCCTTTTAACTTGACCTAAGTCTATTTTCTCAACTCCTACCTCTTTATTAATTTCATATATATATATTCCTATGACAAGTCCGTGAGTGAAATGAGTATTATGGATTGATCATCTGCAGAAACAGGAAGAAAATATGCCGCTAGTTAATACTAATGTAATCAAAGTCAGCTCTTCATCAAGTTGTGTACAGAAGAAAGACAATGTGAGCATATTTATTTATATTTGGAAGTTTATTCATGCGAAGAGACATCAATTGCTGAATGGTGTTAGTGAGCCTTTATGGTTGTAAACAATTTGTTGGTTCATTCACCGGTTGTGGATTCATTCCAAAACTGTTCATAAAAGAAAAGAGAATGCGTTATAAAGTCTGCGTAGAAATTCAGTGACATATACCATTATGATTGGTTAGAGGATCCTGAGAGTAGGACGAAACAGATGTCCAGTACTCCAAGGTTTTTCAATGGTTCTCTAACTGATGTCAGCTCATGACAAAATCCTCCAACCAATCCAGGAAACAAAATCCCTACAAATCAGTAATTGAAAATTAATTTGATGCTCACTAACAAGTGGCCCTATTCAGGTAGTTAACCTGAGGATCTAATGGGAAACCGTGACCCCTAGAGTACATCAGGTTGAAAGTGAGGCAGTAACTCACCGAAGAAGACATTTTGAATTGGTCGCGCTATGTCATCAATTAGTAGAAGTTAGAACTCATAAGCTGGCCCTTGGATTGGGTCCCAGTGGCTTAATGGTCTGCGAGCTAGCTGGCCTTGTAAGCAGAAGATCCCGGGTTGGAGTCCCGGTGGGTGCGTAATGATGAAGAGTCCTAAACTAGAATGAAACATCTGTCCAACACTTTCTATTGATTGTTGATTATATGGCTAAGTATTCGACAAGATTTTACTCAAATCATTATTATTATTATTGTATCCTTTAGTTCCTAGAGGAACATAGGGCTTCAGCTGAGCACCTCCATTGCCTTCGGTTTTCTGACAACTTTTTCACCCTGCTCCAGGTCTGTCCACATGCTTTCATCACTTCCTCGCATGACCTCCTCCAAGTCACCCTTCGACGACCAACTCGCCGCCTCCCTTTCGGGTTCCACTCGAGCGATGGCTTGTCTAGTGATGTCACTTGATGGTTTCCTCAGCGTATGGCCAATCCATCTCCATTTCTTTCTGCCTATTTGTTTCACAATCGGTTCCTGATTGGTTCGCTCCCAGAGATCCCTGTTGCTGATCTTTTCTGGCCATCTGATCTTGAGTATTGAGCGGAGACAGCTGTTAATGAAGGTCTGAAGTTTGTTTGAGATGCTCTTTATGACTCGCCAAGTCTCTGATCCGTATAGTAGCACTGACTTCACACTGGAGTTGAAAATCCGGATCTTATTTTTGATGCTGATTGCTGTTGACCTCCACACAGATTTGAGAGTAATGAAAGCTTGTCTTGCTTTTCCGATTCTGGCTTTGATGTCCTCGTCAGTTCCGCCTGTAGTTGAGACGATGCTTCCCAGGTAGGTGAAGGAGGTTGTTTCTTTCAGGTTCTTCCCATTTATGCTTATTGTGGTCTGTTGGTGTTGTTGCTGTTGATGTTGGCTAGGAATCTTCATTATCTCTGTTTTATGTATGTTCACGTGAAGTACTATCTTTGATGCTTCTTCTGCCAACTTGTTACTTTTCACTTGCATATCTTCCAGTTTATGGGAGATCAGACATATATCATCGGCGAAATCCAGATCCTCCAAGTCTTTTGTGTCAGTCCATTTTATGCCTGTTCCCTCGTTGGTTGCCGTTGTCTGTCGCATTATCCAATCAATTGCAATCAGGAAGATCATTGGTGATAGTAGACAGCCTTGCCTCACTCTTTACTCAAATAACCATATCGAATTTAAAATTGCACTGTAACTAAATGATAGGCGGAGCAATACAGTTAACAGTCATCCTGTGTTGCCTTTGTTAACAGTCTGCCTTCTCTTTGAACAAATATAAGTATTACAAGGTATAAAATCTAAACAGTGTCTTCATAGAATTAATGATTAGTCAACTTACTCTCTCATATGACAACGCAATTCTGTTAGCCTTGGTTTAAGTTCATAAACGTCAAATTCACCTTGTGACCAAAGACGTTCAGCTACAACTGCACCATCAGGCCTATTGAGAGTAAATTTAAAAAAGTAGTAAGGTTGAGTTTTCAAAGGCGTTAACTATACTAATAATTCCTTTTGAAGATAACTGATTATCATGTCATTATATGACTTTTGTGTGGACGATAAATTAACAAGTTGAATTCGACCAATTCCTTTGTAATGATTAGCAAAGGTATAAGGATAAAAGATTCCATCTGGTCAACTGTGATGACCCTTTCTGATCATGCTTCTGTCACATATACTGTATGCTAGAGGTTTTATTAGAACGAAGTAGACGGAAAGCTACGTGATACCCTTGACCATTCTACAGCTTAGCAGAGACAACCGGAGGATTTGTCTTATTGTGCTGGATGTGTTGCTACGATTAACAAGTTGAATATGTGTTCAGCAGTTCATAAGCTTTAATTCTAATATGCCTATGTGAATCGTTAGTCGAAGCATTCCACCTTGTATATTCCAGAAGACATTCGGGTGGGCCTCCAAAGAGAGAAATATTACCAAATCAGTTCTGCTCATGTTCGACTTTGTTTCATGTTTGGTCCCATACAGGTGAAACACATAAGATTTAACTATAACGCAAAATATTTGCTGCAATAAAATTAAACCTTAACTCGGATATATGTCTGTCATCCATTCACTATCATCCATAATATTGGTCTGTACAAGAACGGTTTAAGTCTAGTCAAGGTTATTTAAAATGCATTCCGGGATTTCAGATTATCATGAGATACCAATTCAGGATGACAGGTGAACAATCATAGTCAGCTTTGTTGTAAACAGTCTCTATACGAAAATACCCATTCAAATGGCCATGAGTGCATTGAAAGTGAAACTAAAAGAAGATAATGGCCTGAAAGACAGAACACAGTTATCCGTAGAAGAGATAATAAAAGGGGTGGAATTCTGTCTGATGACAACATATTTCACATTCAAAGGGAAAATATACCAACAAAATGAGAGAGTAGATACGGGATCGCCTATCTAACCAAATAATAATCGATTATTGGGAAGAGAATGCCTTTAAACCATTCAGATCATCACTAAAATGTTGGTGGAGATATGTAGACGACACACTAGTCATAGTGAAAAAAAAACGATATTGAGAAACTTTTCTCACTCATAAACAGCCATGTCGACTCAATAAAATTCACTATGGAAATAGAGAATGAAATTGGGGAACTGCCTATGTTAGACTGCAAACTATAAAGAATGACAGATGGTAGCATAAAAACGACGGTATATAGAAAAACCACACTTTCTGGAAGATTCCTTGATTATCACTCAGCTCATTCACTCACGGTAAAACGAGGATTACTGCAAGGTCTTGCAGATAGAATACGTAGACTTACAACAACACCAGAGGACCAGTTTAAAGAAATAAACGTCCTATTCAAAATTCTACTCGAAAACAACTACCCAAAAGATTTCATAAAAGATAATATAAAAAAGAGGGTTAAACCGGAGAATAACAAGAAGGAAGAATGGAAAAAAACAGTCACAATACCATATATAAATGGTACCACAGAGGCAATTCAAAGAAACCTCAAAAATATCGGCATTAGAACAACGTTTAAACCGACAAATCTAATCAAAAAATAAAATAAATCAACTGAAAGATCCCATAAAAATGATGGATAAAAACAATTTGATTTACAAAAAAATATCTTGTGCTGACTGTCCAACTAAATATGTGGGCCAAACGTTCAGATCACTCAAAATAAGAGTGAATGAACATAAACGGCTAACTCTAAAGTTCAACCAACAGGAACATAAGGTCGCAAGAATCTTGAAGAAATCGATAGCTGTACATGCATGGGACGAAAACCACAATATCGATTGGGACAATGTGTGTATTCTAAAAACTAACATGAACAAATGGAAAGGAAGACTTATAACAGAATCGATATTCTCTAAAGTCACACCGGATACATGTAACAAGGGTGACTCAGAAATACTACTATCAAAAACTTGGAATAAAATTCTGAATACAAAACATGAATGAGCAAAAAAATAATGAACTATATATATGAGTACAAATCATAAATGTGTGAATAAAAAAAAAAAACAATTGGAACAGTAGGTGTGAATACGGGCAGAAATTTTGCTCGAAATATTACCCAATAACAAAACAGTTATCATTGTGTGTAAACTATTGAAATATAATTTTACTTTATTTGATCATATGCTATAAAGGTGCTTAAATTATTCACTGGCCTGTGATCTCTGCGGTTAACATGAAAGGAAACACTCACATGCTCAGCGAAACTACATATTGAGCTGTTTGTTAAACGCCTACGCTTATAACAAATTTAAGCGGCATACACTGCGATGATAAATAGATCCATGGTAACATTCTGTTTTTGTCACATCAACAAATGACAGTCAACCTAGAATAGCCATCACTGAACCTAGAATCATGTGGTTTCAGTATGTCTTACAATCTAAACACCCTTTTACAGTCAAAGTTGCAAATGCATTACACAGAATAAATAGTCCTCTTTTCTACAATAACTTCAACTTCAGACAAACATTTTACAAAAAACAGACAGACATCTTTATCAATTACAAAATACCATCATTCACTACAGAAGTTATTCAAGAATGGTGCATTTTCATGCCCTTAGAAATACAAACAGCAGTACTCACCATGAACGTGTGAAAAGATTTGACTCATCCACATATTCTCCAAATAAAATTGCTTCTCCACCAACAACCAGTTGTTGTTCATCTTCAGTGCCTTGGATAATTGTATAAATAGGATAGGGTTATGTAGCAATCAGGAATTTGAGCACAATGAAATAGGCCTACTTTCAGTGAGTTCTACGAAGGGAAGGATATATCTGAATGGTCGGTATCTGTCATAACTGATTAATGATACGTTTATAAGCAGGCAACTGGTAGTGATTGCATAATGCCAGCCATTATAAAACTGTCATTTCTTTCAAGACACGAACTAGTTGAATTGTAGAAAAAGTACTGGTATTTCACTTACATTCAAAGAAAGACAGAATATTATACGTCCAGTAAACTTTTTGATATCTGAACAAATCTGCTGTGATCTTCAAAGAAAGTGTGAACAGGCATAGGGCACTTGTGGCGGCCTGCTTAAATCTTGGGCTACCAAAATTTCCATCCTACATATTGCATCTATTTCCTCGGATTTATTTTGTTTTAATCATTCAATTATGTATCCAAGTCGCATTACTTACTCTCGCGATTATTTAAAATGTTTTCAACCTGTTGATTTACGAGTATATAATAACGTTAAGAAAAAGCATCATGGAGGTTGGCAGAGATCATTAAAGTGTACTCCAATGCATCAGATGACTGTTCCTGTGATTATGAGCACAAATTGCAGGTCATTATCGAACAAGATTAACTACTTGCATTCTCTATTATACTCAAATGTATATTGTAATACTGGTGTAATCACTCTTCAAGAGACTTGGCTCCATGATTCATATGACGATAATTTAGTCTCCTTAAGTGGGTTCACAATCTACAGACAAGACCGATGCAGCTCAAAGAAGAAGAGAGGTGGTGGTGTTGCCACTTTTATTAATTCTCAGTGGTCTACTGCCAACAACGTCTGCTTCAAATTCTCAAATGACAATATTGACTGTATAACTGTAAAATGTCGACCTAAACACTTACCTAAGTATAGCTCCATTTTTGTCACAAATATCTATATCACACCTTGTTGCAGTCCCTCAGAACTATCTATCTTCGCTGATGAATTCACTATTTTTGCTGCTGCTTCGTTTGGTAACTCCTTATCTATAGTGACCGGCGACTTCAACTCCAGCGACTGCAGTTTTATTACATTGCTGGGCCATGCAAATGTTGTTAATTTCCCAACTCGACAAAATACTTCACTTGATTTAGTATTTATAAATGATTCTGGAATATACGAAGCTCGTAAAAGAGCCCCACTCTTCAATTCTGATCATTGTATTGTACGAGTCTTACCCAAAATTTACGGAAAGTTACACAGTAAAGCCCTCTCAAACTTGTCTAAGAAAGTTGTTCACAGATGCTACTCAAATGAGAACGTACATCATCTTAGAAACATGCTCAGTGACACAAGATGGGATTTGTTTAATGTTGATTCACTTAATGACAATATCTCTAATATTACATCCTATCTGAAATTCTGTTTTGAAATCTGTTGTCCAAAAGAAACACTATTCGTCAAATTTGACCGTTTCTCCTCGCCTCAACTTAAAAAGCTTCGTAGAGAGAAGGAAAAACTGTATAAGATCAAAGATAAAAGTGGTGTAAAAAGAACTAACTTCTTAATTAAGTCTGAAATGCAGAGGTTGAATGTAATATATAACCAGAAATTCATGTCCTGCAAAAATCCTTCTAATATGTGGAAACTATTTAAGGAAATCACTGGTGGTAAGCAGATAAACAATATTCCATATTCTTTTGATGTATGTACTCTTAACAAATCTTTTATTTACTCTCCCTCAAATGCCATGCTTCCCAGCATCACTTGTGTTAATAATAGCCCCTTTCCAGGTTTTAACACAAATGATGTTCAAAAGTGCCTCAAGTCTCTAAACCCTTCCCAGAGCTTAGGTCCCGATTATGTACCTAGTATTATTTTTAAAAAATGTTCTGATATTCTGTGTCACCCTCTTACTGATCTATTTAACAAATCTTTTTCCGATAATATTGTGCCTGCCGTTTGGAAGGACATTAAAGTTGTACCCATACCTAAATCTTCTACTGGAGCATGTGTCAAATTTAGACCCATTGCTATTACGTCTCCTTTTTTGAAAACTATGGAGAAATTACTTTTACTTAGTCTTGAACCTTCGCTTAAATCCTTTAATGACCCTAAACAATTTGCCTATAAGCACAGTAGAAGCACTTTAGATGCAGCTGCCGTCTTATATCATAACATTGCTTCCAGTCTAGACAAGGGGGCTAAATTTGTTCGTTGCGCCTTCCTAGACTATACATCTGCTTTCGACTCGGTCCCTAGGGACATCTTATTAAATAAACTTGCTGCTAGTCAAACAGAATGTTGGGCTGTTAACTGGTTACATTCCTATTTCTCAGATAGAAAGCAGTACACCGTATATAAAGGGAAGTCTTCCACTTCATTGCCTACTGAAGCTGGTGTCCCTCAAGGTGCTGTTCTTTCTCCTTTTCTTTTTTCTTTCTTCTTGCATGACTTGCCTCACTCTGATGAAATAAACTTTGTGAAGTACGCTGATGATTTAACGGTTTCAATGGCTGTTAACTCCCAGCTAGATTGTACTAAAATAAATAGCTTTCTATCGGAAGTCAGCAAATGGTCTGAGTCTAACGGTCTTAAACTGAATCCTTCTAAGTGTCAAACTGTTGATTTCAGCTTAAGATGTAAACGACAGTTAAAAGAAGTCATCGATTCTCATGACACTTGTAAAATTGACGACAATGATATAGGAATCAAATCAGAAATTAAGTATCTTGGACTCATTCTCTCTTCTGATCTCTCCTGGTCTTCCCATGTCTTAGCAATCTCCAGTAAAATATTCCGCCTGACATTTTACATTAAGAAGTTAAGACACTCGGGTATAACTCAACCCCTCATCCTACAGTTCGTAAACTCTTGCATCCTACCTATTCTTCTTTATTGCTCACCCTTATTCTTTCCTGGTTTGCTTAAAAAGGACTATGTCACAATTCGTAGAATACTGAAGACTGTCAGTAGGGTGAGTGGTGTCCCAGTGGACCACATAGTTAACGTCGTTGTCGATAGGCACTTGACTTCGTGCAATAAATTTGCTAAAGGGATTTTGTCTGACTTGGAGCATCCGCTTTACCCTCAGCTTTCACCTTGCATCTCCTCAGGTAGAACAAGGAGTAACTTCAGAAAACTGTATGCTCGCACGTCTAAGTATAAGAATTCTATGATACCATACTTGGCACGTATTTTATGTGATGAAAATAGTGTCAGGCAAGAATTAACTAACCTTCTTTCATCTAGTAAATAAACAATTTCCTCCATCCATCCTTATATACCTTCAAGTTTTACTTTTATTACTTCTATTATATTTATGGTCCTGTTACTTCTCTGTTTGTTTTACTCTCATAATTGCAAACACCAACTTATCTCCATGACGGCTGTAATCTTTGTTTTTCCCCTCACCATATCATGTAAAGAGAACATTATATTCAATATTTTTAAACATGTTAGGATTTCTATACCACATTGCCAATACTGTGTGACACAAGCCAACGGCAATTTTCACTTGTATTCTTATTATTATTACCCTAGCTGTTATCATTATTATTGCTATTTCCATTTTATATGCTGCATGTTTTTGACACTACCTCTATTGTAAATGTGGAAAATTTTCTGTGTGATTAATTTTATTTATAATTTGAGGAAATTAGATGCAATATTGTGATTAATGCTGAAAATTCCATTCTGTATCACAAGTACTGTTTTTGGAATAAAGTAAATCATTATTATTATTGTAGTAGTACAATCCTTTAAAGATAAACTATTATGATGGGAATAGAGTATCAAAATAAATATCACACCGGAATGGATTTCTTTTTGGACCAGAAACGTTTAGAGTACGATCGACATTCAGACTCTTCAACAGTGCGCACCCATAACCACTGCAGAGATCGAGATATACACCTTCAGATTACGAAGCCAGCCTGTTGATGACTCAGCTAATGTTCTAGAGTCTAACGACGCATGATTTCTGACTTCCGTCACTCTGGAATATAGCGCTTCTATCAACCAAGACCAATGACAAAGCCGACCTAACCGTTCACGATTTTCAAACAGAACTTCAGAACATTCCTATAGTAGCCACCCGTGCCCTGGAAACTGATGTTCCAATAATAGGTTTTGTAGTGATTTAAATAAGTAGTATAGTTGTCACCTAAGTGTGCACTGTTATTATTTAAATAAATTTGACGAATTTCCTAAAAGTTAAATGCTCGATTTGCGGAAAAGAACCTTTATTTATTGTAGGTCATCTGAACCAGTCTTATACTCAAGACTATGCATTCATTAAGAATATCGCTCTTTAGAGTTGAATTAACTGCAACTTGACATTTTAAATGAATCTAACTGCGAATTGAGGCGCTTACTCAATAGATTTTTAGGATACATTCTTTTTTGGTAGCATTATTTGCTAAGAAACATCTGCCGTCTAAGATAATTCGAAAGGTCATATGGCGGATAAATTCCCCAATATATATATGTTATTGCACCCAGGATATTCAACGATTTATGAAATGAGCTCCTAAGTCCTTTTAATTCCTCTGTTGATAAACATTAGAAAGAAATTCGGACAACACAATACAATCAGAGTGCGTCGGATACACAGCGGTAAGAATGCTCTCCGACTATGCACATGGCCCGGGGGTTCGATCCCTGGCCACCGACGCACTCCTTTACCTTGCTAAGCCGGAAATAATTCTGGTAAAGAGGAAAGGTTGGGCGTGAGGCTGGCTAGCAACCCCATCCTGTAAAAATGAACACCACTGCTACAGAACCTTCAAGCCTCTAGCTTGAAGCCCTCTGATGTTCCTCTGGGAACGTGGAGGAATAAAAAAATACAATCAGAAGAGATTCTACCGACACCAGCGAGACTACCAGTGTAACAACAGAAGACAAGGGCCAGGCAACAGATCGTTTTATTATGAAAATCAACACGTATTTATACATCTTTCAACTACATTATTATAGACAAGCGCAGTCATCTGATTGGTTGTTTAGGTAGACAAACGCAGGCTTCTGATTGGTTGTTTCGGGATTCCTTGACAAATAGAGTTCTCTCTGCGAATCATATTCTGCCACGTTAACTTTGCTGTGATTGGTTGTTGACTCAGGCTTGTTCATATTTTCTCACGGCCCATATTAGTGACCTAGACCTTAACGTAGATTAGTGCCAACCAATCGGCTAGCAGCCTGCTCTCACCGCACTCGTCCCCCCGTCAAATACGTGCGACTGAAGTCGGCTTGATCTACTTGGTGCAGGCGTCATCGTTGGCTTGTCTCGCTGTATCCATTTCTGGAGCTCGCTGACGTTCACGCGCCTCTCATTGTTCGCCATTGCGACTGTGTCTGCGTAACCCCATCTCGAAGTGACCATATATGGTCCTTCCCACTTTGGAAACTGTTTGCCTGACCCTGTCGAACATTCGTCCATACTTCGGCCCACACCTTCATATGCTGCTTTCGCCCGACCTCCCAGCAGCGTCTCAAGTAGCAGCTCCATCGCTGACAGATTTTGAACGCCACTCAACTGCGCAGAAGCCTTGAAGTCCTGCCCGAAGATCCATATGTCTCCATCAAAAACTGCAGGGTATAGGCTTTTCATTTGTCGGTAGGCAGCGACACCAAATGTAACAACAGAAGACAAGGGCCAGGCAACAGATCGTTTTATTATGAAAATCAACACGTATTTATACATCTTTCAACTACATTATTATAGACAAGCGCAGTCATCTGATTGGTTGTTTAGGTAGACAAACGCAGGCTTCTGATTGGTTGTTTCGGGATTCCTTGACAAATAGAGTTCTCTCTGCGAATCATATTCTGCCACGTTAACTTTGCTGTGATTGGTTGTTGACTCAGGCTTGTTCATATTTTCTCACGGCCCATATTAGTGACCTAGACCTTAACGTAGATTAGTGCCAACCAATCGGCTAGCAGCCTGCTCTCACCGCACCAGGACAAATACAGAGAAAATGGTCGGAATAAAGATAAATTATATCCATTTTTATACTTATCCTCAGTATTTGCTTACCTTCAAATGCTCCAGGATCACACTCATAGTAATCATACCAATCACCAGAGAAATTAGCATTGTTAATTTGCCAACATGATGACAATATAACTCGATAACCATCGGATGTGATAGATTTAACAAGCTGTGGCCAATCTTCTGCCTTTCGAACATGAATCACAGTGGCATTACTCGGCTGAAGGAAAAAAAGATAGGAAGTCAGTTGTGCAATCAGTAGAAGCATGAATTGTGTTGTGACTTGACAATTTGATACGATATAAGAAATCGACCTGAGTAGTTTAATTTCAAAGGACTGATGACAAATGTTACACAGATATATGTCGATGGATTTATAATGACAGGTCAGAGTTATGTGTGTATTCATACAGTGGAGTCATCTACGCTCCAGCTTGAGACTTCTTTGAGATTGTATTTTGAATCCAAAAATTATTCCTACACCCCCCTACACCATCACAAAGGCAGTAAACATGGCTTCAGGTCACTGCAATCGTCAAGTTTCACTCGAACCATGTGATTATTATGTGTATGATGAGATAACGTCCATTTCGAAAAATTTACAGGTTCCAATATCAACATGAATCTCCTCAAATATATGAACCACAGTAGAATTAACACAGTTGATTATAAGATGACAAAATGAGAAGTCGAAAGAATTCCTCGATAATACAATGATTTTAAGTCTCAGGTATTTATATCTCAGTCAATGGAAACCCCTTTAATTCATCCTTCACGCTTCTAGCCTCACATCGGATGGAATCTCATCGTAGTCGAACTGGAGACAACAAGCACGCGGAGGATTTAACCATTTCAATGCCTATTAACTCCCACTTTCCCCATTTCTGTTTAACTTCATCATAGATATGCTAATGGAAGTATCCTTAACTGAACGTAGTGACTTAGGAATCGACTTGTTACCAGGGAATAATCTAATGGACTTAGAATATGCAGATGACATAGTCCTGTTAGGGGAGGATGCTGACAAAATGCAGAGTCTTCTGAACACCTTGAGCAGCAATCTTCGTATGTTTGGCATGCGATTCGCCCCTGCAAAATGTAAGATGCTGCTACAGGACTGGACCCCGTCAATCCCTAACTTAGTGATAGGGAGTGAAGTGATAGAACATGTTGACCACTTCACCTACTTGGGAAGTTGTATCAGCACCAACGGACTGATTGGCGATGAAATCTCAGAACGGATCCGAAAAGCTCGAGCTGCTTTCGCTGACTTACACCATCTCTGGCGTAGGCGTGACATCCGGTTATCAACCAAGGGACGTGTGTACTGCTCAGCAGTTCGCTCCTTCCTTCTCTATGGCTCTGAAACATGGCCAATACGAGTTGAAGACATGAAAAGGTTGACTGCTTTCGATCATAGATGTCGGCGATCTCTGTCTCACGTTAGGTGGTTTCACAAGATAAGTAATGTTGACGTTAGGCGTAGAGTGTTGGGCAAAGAGGGAAAATCAATCGACGAGACTATAAAGTTACATAGACTAAGATGGCTAGGTCACGTGCTGTGCATGCCTAACCATCGCCTCCCCTCCCCGACGGGCATTACCAGCTGATATAGGTGCAGGTTGGAAAAGGGTAAGTGGTGGCCAGACAAAAACATGGCCTCATCAATCCATGAAATCCTTGACAGTTAAACTGAGTCAGGTAGGAAGATGCAGACTCCCGGGTTGGGGCCCTCGGGACTCTAGGAATCAATGGCTGGAGACAGTAGGTGACATGGCTCAAAATCGTTGTCAATGGCCAGTGCAGATGTATTCAGTCTCTGTAATCTTTCATATTCCTTTCTACAATTACCCATTCTGTTTCACTCTTATACTTGTCAGACTGTATTGATTCTCTTCACTCATCTTCTTGTCTACCTTGTGTGCCAATTGGAACGTGGCAACTCGAACTGCTGCACTTCGGTGCCAAGTTCTATGTTGAATCCAGACAGACCAGAACTCCCAGCTAGACTGTACTAAGATGAACAGCTTTCTATCAGGAGAGTCAGTAAATGGTCTTTGTCTAATGGTCAGACTGGTAATTTCAGTTTCTGATATATAAAGAAGGTTAAATGAAGCTGTTAATTTCCATGACCGTTGCAAAACTGATGATTTTGACACAGAGATCAAGTCTTATGTTAGGTATATTGAACCAATTCTTTCTTCTCATCTATCCTGATCTTCTCATGTCATAGAGATTTCTAGAAAATATTCTGTCTGACATTTTACATTGAGAAGTTAAGGTACTTGGGCATAACTCAACCTTTTCTCTTACAGTTTGTCAACTTTTGCATCCTTCCTATTCTTATTTTTTGTTCACCCTTATTCTCCCCTGGGTTGCTTAAAAAAGACTATGTCACACGTTGTGGAACACTAAAGGCTATCAGTAGGCCAAGTGGTATCCTATCTCATTCGGCCATATCGTTGACATCAACACTGATGATAGGCACTTCATTTCATGCAATAAATTTACCAAAGGGATTTAGTCAAACTGTGAGCATCCACTTTCCCCCGCAGCTTTCATCTTGTGTCACCTCAAGTAGGACAAGAAATCATTTCAAAAGACTTTATGTGCGTACGTTTAGGTATAAAAACTCCATGATACCATATTTGTCAAGTATTTTACGTAATGAAAATAGTGATAAGCACGAACCAGCTAACTAACTAACTAACTAACTAACTAACTAACTAACTAACTAACTAACTAACTAACTAACTAACTAACTAACTAACTAACTAACTAACTAACTAACTAACTAACTAACTAACTAACTAACTAACTAACTAACTAACTAACTAACTAACTAACTAACTAACTAACTAACTAACTAACTAACTAACTAACTAACTAACTAACTAACTAACTAACTAACTAACTAACTAACTAACTAACTAACTAACTAACTAACTAACTAACTAACTAACTAACTAACTAACTAACTAACTAACTAACTAACTAACTAACTAACTAACTAACTAACTAACTAACTAACTAACTAACTAACTAACTAACTAACTAACTAACTAACTAACTAACTAACTAACTAACTAACTAACTAACTAACTAACTAACTAACTAACTAACTAACTAACTAACTAACTAACTAACTAATTAACTAACTAACTAACTAACTAACTAACTAACTAACTAACTAACTAACTAACTAACCCACTTTCCCCTAGTAAATAAACAATTTTCTCCACCCTTATAAAATCGCGCTATTATTCTTCCTATATTCATAATCCTCTCAATTTTTGTTTATTTTCGCATAAGTATAAACATCATTTAGGCTGTGCAATAATTTTAATTGTTTTGTATTTCCCCTACACCATGCTATATCAAGGGAACATTGGATTTTATGCTCTATAACATGCTAAAATTTTCAAATTCTGTCGATAGTACTGTTTAAAACAATACCCACTGACATTATTGCCATTGTTGTTATTATTGTTATTCTCATTTTATACTTTGCACAGTTTTGACTTTGTTCCTACTCTATTATTATTGTTCCCTTGGGTTCCTAGTGGAACATAGGGCTTTAACTGCACGTCTCCAGTTGCTTCTGTCTTCCTTCTGCTGTACTTTTCCCCTGCATCCATGTTAGTTAGTCCATACTGTTTCAACTCCTCTCTCTTCACACGATCTCCTCCATGTCACCCTTACATTGACGTCCCAATCACCGCTTCCCCCTCTGCCTGGTTCCACTCGAGCAATGGCCTGACGCGCACGCGATGTCACCCAGCGGCCCGACCTCCTCAGAGAGTGTCCAACCCATCTGCACTTTCTCCTGCATATTTGATGGGCGATTGGTTCTTGTTTTGTTTGTTCCCATAATTCCTTGTTGGTGATTCTTTCCGGCCATCTGGTCTTCAGTATAGAGCGAAGACAGTTGTTGATGAAGGTCTGCAACAGACTGTTGGAAATATTCTTTGTGACCCGCCCGCCAAGTTTCTGATCCGTATAGAAGAACTGACTGACTTGACGTGGTTTGCATTGAAAATCCGACGGAATTTTGTTGTTGTTGATGAGTTGAGTGACGCAGATTTCCAGATTGGTTTCAGGTTGATGAGTGAGTGTGTTTCTCGCCTTCTCGATTCTCGCTCGACTCGACATCCTCGTCCGTTCCTCCTGTAGTTGAGACAATGCTTCCTAGATGAGTGAGTGAATGAAGTAACCTATTTCAAATCCCTCCCGTTGATGGTGACTGACGCTGCATGTTGTTGTTGTTGTTGGTTGGTTATTTTCATCACATCCGTCTTGTCTATGTTCACTTAGAGTCCTGTTTTCGCCGGCTGCTTCTTCGACCAGTTTGTCGGTTTTCGTTTGTAAGTCTTCGATTTTGTGTGACATCAAACATAAATCATCCACGCGCGAAATCCAGGTCTTCTAGGTTCTTCGCGTCGGTACAGGATATCCCTGTCTGCTCGTTTCCCACTCACTGTCTGACGCATAATCCAGCCCACCACAATTAGGAATATCATTGGTAATAATAAGCACCCTTGTCTGACTCCTGTGTATACTCCAAACGCCTTGCTGAGTTTTCCGTTGTGGACCACTTGACATGTGCCGCTGTCGTACAGCTGTTGAATAAGGCTGATAAATATTTGGGGTACGCCGTAGTACTCGAGTAGTTTTCAGATTACTTCACGGTCAATGCTGTCTATCAAAGACCTTCTCAAAATCTATAAAGTTGAGGTAGGGGTTTGATTGCCTTTCCATGCTTTGTTCGAGTTCCTACTCTAAAGGTGGACAAAGTCCTGTGATTACTTTTATTGATATATTGAGTAAATTAGATGCAATATTTTGATAAATTCTAAGAATTGCATGCTGTATTATAAGTAGTGCTGTTTTTGGAGTAAACTGGACTACTTTTACTATTTTAAGTAGGCGATATTCTTTTGTTTTTACAACTACTATCCTCTTATTTCTCGAACATTTCTCCTTTAAGTATACTTTGTTACATTCTCTACACTCTGTCAACTGTCAAGACCACGAACTACAAAACAAAATCAAATGAATACCTGTTGGCTACCAAGAATAAACTCGATGATCTTCTACAACATCTTTGAATACGTGTGTGACGGTAATAATCAGGATAGAAAAGATTAATGAAAATTAACTATTAGTTCTGAGAAACCCTACTCCGAAGTCAAAAACGTCAGTCTAACAAAATATATATAACATAGGTCAATGTAATAATAATAATTTACTTTATTCCAAAAACAGCGCTACTTATAGTACAGAATGGAATTCTCAGCGTTTGTCACAATATTGCATCCGATTTACTTAAAATATAAATTAAATTAAAAATCAAAACAAAAGTAACCGGAGGAATATGTCCACCTTTACGATATAAAGTCAAAAATATTCGAAGCACGAATTGAGTATATTAAATATAATAATAGGTGTCACGTGTGTGGATGGATGTCCCACCAACGACAATGGTTGGGGTCGCGCTAAATCACGAATTAGTAGAAGTTATAATTCATGAGCTGGCCATTGAATCGGGTCCCAGTGGCTGAATGGTATACGAGCTTGCCTTGTAACCGGAAGGTCCCGGGTTCGAATCCCAGTGGGTGCGTACTGCCGATGATTCCCAAACTAGGATGAAACAGCAGCTGTCCAGTACTCCCTGGTTTTCAATGGTTCTCTAACTGATATCAATCCGTGATCAACCCGTAAAAAATAATAATAATGATAATAATAGTGAGTTTGTTTCAAACAGTATTGTCGATTCAGTTTGAAAATTTTAGCATGTTACTATAGAATATTGAATCTAATGTTCTGTTGGTGTAGCACCATAGTGAGGGGAAATACAAGATTAACAGTGGTAACACAGCTTAAATATTGTTCACAATTATGAAAAATAAATAAATAAAAATAAAAAATTGAGAGGATTATAATTATAAGAAATACAATATCAATAAAGTTTGGTGCTGTAAGGGCGGAAGAAATGGTATATTCATTAGTGCGAAGAAGGTTAGTTAGTTCATGCCTGACATCATTTTCATTGCATAAAGTACGTGCTCAATATGGTGTAGTGAAATTTTTATACTTAGACGTACGTGCATAAATTCTTCTGAAAAGACTTCTTGTTTTACCTGAGGAGACACAAGGTTGGAGCTGCGAGTAGAATGGGTGCTCAGAGTCTTACAAAATTCCTTTAGCAAATTTGTTACATGACATCAGGTCCCTATTAGTGACAATGTCAACGATATGGCTCAATGGGATACCACTCGTCCCACTGAAAGTCTTCAGAGTTATACAAAGTATGACATAGTCTTTTTCAGGCAATCCAGGAAAGAATAAGGGTGAACAGTAAAGAAGAAGAATAGGTAAAATACGCAAGTTGACAAACTGTAAGAGAAGTGGTTGGGTTATGCCTGAGTGCCTTAACTTCTTAATGTAAAAAGTCAGACGAAATATTCTTTTAGAAATCACAAAGACATGGGAAGACCAGGATAGGTCAGAAGAAAGAATTAATCCAAGATACTTAACTTCAGACAATAGAAAGATAGTTTGAAAAATCCCTTCTGGACGATCTAATCATATTTCAACTGACTGCAATTATCATTTTTATTATTGTTATCAAGTCCATTCTCACTTTAGATTGTCTGCGGGAAGTATTGTTATATGATCACTGTGAATAGAGTTTTGATTCCATTTTGTTAATAATATTCTACTTGTTTTTACCTACTTGTTTTTTACTTAGAAAAAGACCTTGACTGTATAGCTGCGTAACGTCATTCTTGGCGAAAGTTTGAGTTTTTCATGTTAAAAATGTAGAATGAGAGCAGAGATTCATCGGAGAACAGTCGGCTTTTTGCCATCGTTGAAGCCCTTCCTGACTGTACTTGTCTGAAAGACGTTTTGTCAACTATACGAAGAATGGATTTTCTTACTAAAACTTCGTGTGGTAGGAACCTACTACCTCCTACCAATCATTTGAAGTTATTCGAATTATAATGAAACAATATACAACCAAAGATATTTTCACAACTACGTACTCAATTCATATGAAGGACATTCAAAGAAGATTAGTTATTTAAAAGAGGGATCGTAGTTTTACATAGAAAATCACACACACACACACATTATTCGAAAAGGTAAAAGCATTCACTTACACGATAGCCATTCTCATAAACATCCTGCCAAACAACTGGTGTAACAGCATATCCCTCTGGTTGAACTGATTGGATGACTTCAGTAAGATGATCAAAATAATAGGATTCAAGTTTTCCAAAGTCATCACCGAAATTCATCACGTTCATAAAATTCAAAACTTCGGGATTCGACTGCCTATTATAAAAAAACATTTTAATGAATTTTAATCATCAATCTGTAAGCACTGGTTAATATATCACAGCGCCAAGACTGTGAATTGAACTTCTGAATACTTTCACATGCGAGGAGGTGTTAGGGGTATTCCCTATTTAAAACCTCTACTCACTTACTTATCAAATGGAAGTGTTCCTTTTTTTAGAATGACAACTATCTTGGATGAATGGAATAATCACTCAGGTATCTAATAACATTTACGAGGTGGTCGGCATGAAAATTTCTCACGGACTTCCACCAGCATTTTGCTTCCTCAAACACAATTTACTACAATTCCATACCAAAATGTACTTCCTTGTTCCTTCCGGCGCAATATTTCTTACTATGCGATAAACCAACTATTCATCTGTTACTTCCAGCTATAAAAGTGAGAGTAAACGAACAATACTTCACTCTGACACAGTTTTACTACGCCTCTGACTTCTGTGGGACAAAATGGTTTAGGCACATGTTGAAACACCCTCCTTTATCTACCTGGGAAGCATAGTTTCAACTACAGGCGGACGGAGCTGATGAGGATATCAAGGCAGCGAGGATCGGGAAAGCAAGACAAGCTTTCATTACTCTCAAGTCTGTGTGGAGGTCAACAGAACTCAGCATGAAAAATAACACCCACATTTTCAACTCCAGTATGAAGTCAGTGCTACTCACTGTGCTGACCAGAGACTTCACGAGTCATAAAGAGCATCTCAAACAAACTTCAGACCTTCATTAACAGTTGTCTTTGCTCAATATTCAAGAACAGATGGCCAGCCAGAAAAGATCAGCAACAAGGATCTCTGGGAGCAAACCAACTCAGCAGGAACCGATTGTGAGACAAATAGACAGGAAGAAATGGAGACGTATTGGTTGGCCATACTCTTAGGAAACCATCAAGTGACATCACTAGACAAGCCATCGCTAGAGTGGAAACCGAAAGGGAAGCGGTGAGTTTGAGGAGGTTATGTGAAGAGGAGATGAAAGCATGTGGGCAGACTTGGAGAGGAGTGAAAAAGTTGGCAGAAAATCGAAGGCAATGGAGACGCGCAGCTGAAGCCCTATGTTCCTCTTGGGAATTAAAGGATATAATAATAATACATGTTGAAATTCATGTTCCATGTTTAGTAAATTTTCATGTAATATTATTCACTTGCCCGATATGCTGCTCTCAGGAAGATCATCCAAGCAACACACAACAGGAAATTCAACACTTGAAAAGAACCATGAAACTCTGAAAGGATTCCTTGAAGTGTACCGTTGAACTCATTTACCAAGAAATTTCACATAAAAATTGACAAGACAAAATCTTACCAGCAAGAATATGAAACATCATTACCACCTAAATGGATATATCCTTCTAAGAATATTGAAGTAATTTCCCTGTAAAACTCTTTGAGGAATTCAAATGTTGTCTCATTTGCAGGATTGAATGGACCAGTTTCTCCATCTAGCTCATCTCCATTGTAGCAGTTTGTTCGTACTCCTGGATAACCATTCTCCCAGGACTTTGTATGACCTGAAATCAGTAACAAATCAGGAGAACAAGTCAATGAAAGTTATTCGTAAAAGTCTGAGGACAAATGTGGAACAGTTTAACTTGGTATGATGACTGAGAAACGCCACAACGATATTTCAACAACAAAGAATGTCAAACTGATCACTTACTCGGAGTATCAAATTCCACCATCACGCGTATCCCGCGTAGTCTGGCATACTCTATCACCCGAACAACATCTGTATTTTCATAAACATAGATCTGTGGATTATACGCACCCTATAGGGGGAGGACAAGTGGTGAGATTAATATACAACCAATGGAATACCTTTAAAGAGAGTTGAGGATATGAGGAGGAGACGTAAGGGAATGAGCTGTCGTCTGTCATATGCCAATGGAATACATTCATTTTAACAATCGCCATAGCATCCTGAACGAGTGTGAAGAATTAATACAAGTACAAAAACAACAAGGAAGAGAGAGAGACTTACAATGAACTTTTCAATTTCATCGACACTAATGTAGTGTCTGGCGGTGTCGACTAGAAATCCTCGGTGAATGAATCTTGGTGAATCTTCGATACTATATTCATTTATTACAAGCTAGATGAATGAATCGAAGTTATTATTATTATTGTTATTTAACTGGACTCACAGCTCCCCATTTACTCCTATGCACCAGTTGTATAATTGTCTGTAATGCATGCAACGTTCCCCATACTTCATTCGATTCAATATCAATTCTCTCATCCATTATGCTGATTGTATCTTCAGTAGTTAGTTAGTTATGATGATAATGACGTTGAAATCATGAAATGAACCTACATGATTCATCCATATATTCACTTGGCCATAATTTATTCTCTGTTTCATCACAACCTTCTTTAATGACAATATTCAATGTGTTAATACTACACGATACTCCTTCAACGTTCGGTTTTTGTAATTGTCTGACTAGAAAACGTTTATTGAACACTTTCAATGCTTCTTTCAGTATATAACATGATGGATAGTTGTGTTCAGCTGAAAGTAATTCAGCTAAACTACACAAAGATTCACCCATTTTATATTTCAGTGGTCTTGGCACTAAGGAATTGACGGTGTGCTGGGAAACTATGAGCAATATGCAGCTGATCAAATGGACAGCCGTTATCATGTTGATTGTGCTGTTAACTAAATGTGAGGAGTGTTTCAATATATGATTACATATGTATATATCTTCTGGTATGTCTTTTTATTCGCTGTTTGTATGTCTGTGTGTGCGTGTGGCTGCATTCAGTATTGTCATGAACACGTTACGTTGTTTTCGTGAAGGTGACACAAATCTACCAATCATAATACATGCGGTTATGTGACACTGGTCAGAGATACGAAACATTGTTTCCAGGACGTGATTTGAATTTTCTCAGGTTTAACACAATATCAGACACATATTCACATCAGCATAGAGTATCTTTCAACCACCACCTATCCAATACAGTTATTGAATGGAGTCAGTGGAGATAAGAGGCGAATATGCTGAGCTGCTGAAAGTGTTCTTTTTGAGTATGTCTGTATACGAATGTGAATTAACCTCCCCTTCTCTCTTTTTGATGTTGTTGTGTTCTCTGGGTTGGTTGGTTTAATGGAGAGACAAGACCTTCAGCTCTTACGTCAGTATGGAAGACTTACAATGGTCATAGGTACAAATCTTTCCTGATATTTAATAATAATAATAATTTACTTTATTCCAAAAACAGTACTTGTGATACAGAATGGAATTTTCAGCATTAATCACAATATTGCATCTAATTTCCTCAAATTATAAATAAAATTAATCACACAGAAAATTTTCCACATTTACAATAGAGGTAATGTCAAAAACATGCAGCATATAAAATGGAAATAACAATAATAATGATAACAGCTAGGTTAGTAATAATAATAATACAAGTGAAAATTGCCGTGGACTTGTGTCACACAGTATTGGCAATGTGGTATAGAAATCCTAACATGTTTAAAAATATTGAATATAATGTTCTCTTTACATGATATGGTGAGGGGAAAAACAAAGATTGCAGCAGTCATTGAGATAAGTTGGTGTTTGCAATTATGAGAGTAAACAAACAGAGAAGTAACAGGACCATAAATATAATAGAAGTAATAAAAGTAAAACTTGAAGGTATATAAGGATGGATGGAGGAAATTGTTTATTTACTAGATGAAAAAAGGTTAGTTAATTGTTCTTGACTGACACTATTTTCATCACATAAAATACTTGCTGTCAAGTATGGTATCATAGAATTTCTATACTTAGACGTGCGAGCATACAGTTTTATGAAGTTACTCCTTGTTCTACCTGAGGAGATGCAAGGTGAAAGCTGAGGGTAAAGCGGATGCTCCAAGTCAGACAAAATCCCTTTAGCAAATTTATTGCATGAAGTCAAGTGCCTATCGACAACGACGTTAACTATTTGGTCCACTGGGACACCACTCACCCTACTGACAGTCTTCAGTATTCTACGAATTGTGACATAGTCCTTTTTAAGCAAATCAGGAAAGAATAAGGGTGAACAATAAAGAAGAATAGGTAGGATGCAAGAGTTTATGAACTGTAGGAGAGGAGGGGTTGAGTTAAACCCGAGTGTCTTAACTTCCTAATGTAAAATGTCAGGCGGAATATTTTACTGGAGATTGCTAAGACATGGGAAGACCAGGAGAGATCAGAAGAGAGAATGAGTCCAAGATACTTAATTTCTGATTTGATTCCTAAATCATTGTCGTCAATTTTACAACTTTCATGAGAATCAATAACTTCTTTTGACTGTCGTTTACATCTTAAGCTGAAATTAACAGCTTGACATTTAGAAGGATTCAGCTTAAGACCGTTAGACTCAGACCATTTGCTGACTTCCGATAGAAAGCTATTTATTTTGGTACGATCTAGCTGGGAGTTAGCAGCCATTGAAACCGTTAAATCATCAGCGTACTTCACAAAGTTTATTTCATCAGAGTGACTGGGGCAAGTCATGCAAGAAGAAAGAAGGAAAAAAGAAAAGGTGAAAGGACAGCGCCTTGAGGGACACCAGCTTCAGTAGGCAATGAAGTGGAAGACTTACCTTTATATACGGTGTGCTGCTTTCTTTTTGAGAAATAGAAATGTAACCAGTTGACAGGCGAACTTTCTGTTTGACTAGCAGCAAGTTTATTTAATAAGACGCGCCTAGGGACTGAGTCAAAAGCAGATGTATGGTCTAGGAATGCACAATGGACAACACATTCAGCTCTTGCGTCAGTATGTAAGATTTACAATGGCCATAGGTATAAATCTTCCCTGCTATTTGAAAACTCTTTATCTCTTGCCATAACAGACTTGGTTAACAACATCTATTTGCCTTGCACACCGACGCATTGTGCAATATGCAGTGACAATAAGGACATATTTATGTATATTGTGTAGGTATAGTTCTCCAGTCACTTGTTAAATATTAACGCATGATTCTGATGCCGTTACGTGATGATAACGTCCACCGGACATCTGTTAGATTTGTTAAATAATTAATGGTTATCGTACTTTTTTCATCCACAAATTTGTGCAGCTAATGACTTCAGTAAGTAGACTGCACCGTAGTTCTACTTGTATGATGTGTTAATCTTTTCACAGTGTTGGACTTTTTGAATTGACTCATGGATAATCCACATCCAGACATTAGTGTGAAAACAGCACCACGTATTTTGATGTATTTATGTTCTCTGAGCTGAATAGTTAACTTGCAAAGCCTTCATTGCCGTACCTCTACTAAGCAACATCTTCAGTGCATACTTCAATTTGAAGTGAAATTTTACATTTCTCCACGAGTTTATTAGTCATTTTGCCTGCTGACTTTGCACGTGATTGGTTATCTTTGTGTGTTTTCACACCCTCTAGGCTACTTGTATTGGTACTGATTGTTTTGTTGACTTGAAATTTGTCCCTCTGTTTGTGAGATTTCCCTATTATCCATTGGTAAATTTTCTTTATGTCAACGTGTCTATTGATTGACGATTTCCCTGGAATACCAGTAGTTCAGCGAAGATTCTGTTTTCGGCGAATTCATTCAATTAGCCGCACAACCGCAATTGTATATCTTATTTAAAGCAATTAGTTCCTTTTATGAATTTCGACAATACAATAAGAAGACGTAGTTTATCTGAAACGTGTAATGTATTGGCGAAACACATTTTGGACATGCTGATCACACACGTATATATCATACACAATTTTTATAGGAGGCAAGAAGGCATGAATGATTACAATACAGATCAGATTGTGTACAGGTCAAGGTCACAAGTAATGGGTAGGGAGACGCATTATCCGAACGATACTGTGACATTCCACTGTGTTTATCAATTTACATGTATGTGTGTAGACACGTACATAGGGAGGACCCATCGGTCTCTGCAGGTTAGGGCTACAGTACACATTCCGAAGTAGCTACAACAACAAATGAAATCGCCAGACACAATTAACCCCGAAAATAGATGTCCAACATCATCTAAAGAGAAGTATACCGTAGAGATGGGTCACAAGGTTGACTTCAACAATGCCTTTAAGCCGATACATAAAACAAGGTTGGGCCACATACTTAAATTCATTGAAGCCTTAGCCATAAAACGAATTAAACCTGTCTTATTCGTCCAAAAGTTATTTGTTATCACCCTTAACCTGCCTTGGTAATCCAATTTAGGACCAAGGACCAATTTACTTCATAATATTTTCAAAACCCTTCTTTACCTTGTTTTTCCTCTCTTTATCTTTCTTACCCACAGTTTTTGCGTCTCCCTAGCAATTATTTGTGACCTTGACCTATACACAATCTGACCTGTATTGTAATTATTCATGCTTTCTTGCCTTCTATAAAAACTGTGTATGACATGTACGTGTGTGACCAGAATGTCCAAAATGTGTTTCGCCAATACATTACACAAAAATTTAAAACAATTAGTTCCTTTTATAAATTTTGATAGCGTTATTAGAAGACGGGGACTGTCTGAAAAATGTGATGTATTAGCGCTATACATTTCGAACAATCTGATCACACATTTACTTGTCAAGTCAATATATATATAGAAAGGTTAAATTAAACAAAGTGAGAGAAAACAGAATTAAGAATAATGTGTAGCGGAACACTATCCGGTTTGGTTAATGAAAGGCGAACGTAGAACTGCAAAGTCGTCTATTTGTGATCACCTGTTAGAGTCTGGTCATTTAGCCCCACGTGATTCATCTTTCAAAGTTATATACATGGCAAAATCCAATCGATCCAAAAGTTTACGTTTTCTGCACCTATGCATAGCCGAAGCTTTAGCTATACATGAACATAAACCTAAATTATGTGTTCAAAAGCGTTTTGTCAAACCCCTTTCTTTACCTTGGTCATAGTAATGTTCTTTCTAGTTTTTATTTTATTTTACCACTTGGATTCTTTCCACTTCACTTCACATCTTCATTCTTATCGTAATCGTACTCCTAATTTTCATAATTTTTTAGACAACACTTGACATTTTTGTTATAGAACAATCTTTCATATTTTTGTAATTTATCCACTTCAACTCTACCCCTTATAACTTTTATCACATGTACGTACATTGACTGAGCAATTATTTAGTGCCACTTAATAACCTTTTTCTGTAATATAAATACGACTGTACAGCTTGAAAATGAAGTCGTTGAAAAGAAATTTCTTCGCTGAACAAAAACTGTGTTTTTACTCAAGAATAATTAACAAAAACGTTTGGTAATCCAATCAAATAAGGATTACCAAGGTAGGTTAAGAGTAATGACAAACTGTTTTTGAACACACAAGGGGGGCTTAAGTCTATGAATAGCTATAGCCTCAGCGTATTTCAGTAAACGCCCTTGACCGTTTTTATAGATGACCTTAAAGGCTGAGTTAACATCAATCTTATGGTTCATCTCGATTAGATGTTTAGCTATAGACGAATTTGGTAGTCTGCCACCATCACATCCCATACAATTTACCAATTTTCGTGTGTGTGTGTGTGTGGACATACATACATAGGGAGGAGTAATCGCGCTTTACACGTGAGGGTGGGAGAGCATATCCCAAAATGGTTAGAAAAACAGATGAATTGTGACAAGCTAATAGATGCAGGTGGCAGACTACCAAATTCGTC